GTCTCACTGATGCTCAGCATCGCTTTTAATAATCTTGGTGTCACATTTGGGGTTTCCTGATTCCAAAGACCTGGAGATAAAGAATCCAAGGCAAGTGGTTTGTTTGACAGGTGATCCCCGGAGAATGGCGGAGTTGGGCAGGGAGGGAAAGTGCCGGGGACTCCAAAGAACAGATACCCAGTGGGCGACTGGCATCCAGTGGCACCATGAGCGGCCCCCCGGGTCGCATTCCCCCTCCAAGAGGAAGATGGCTACTCATCAGCCACCTAGTAGCCATGGGTGGCTGTGGGCTCTGGGCTTTCCAGTCCCCCCAGATCTCCCATTAAGTGTTAAAGACTTGCAGTAGAAAGCTGCTGTGCACGCTGGCAATAATCCCACTAACTAGCAGAAAGGACAGTGCCCCCGCGTCTTGCGTACCTACTGTGTGCCATACTGAAATCCGATCTTCTGTCCTTGCTGCAACCTGGTTCCTACTCTGCAGAGGAGGAAACCGAGGATCAGAGTAGGTCTACAACTTTGCCCAGGTTCTCACAGCTGGGAAGTGGTGGTGTCAGGACTTGAACCCAGGTTTATTTGGTTTTCTCTCCTGATCCCATTCCCCCTTGGAGGGAGCGCTGTTTTCTAGATTTGGGCTCCTAGACATCTCCTTTCTAGGAAAAAGAACACAATCCTCTCAGATAGTGATTCTCCCATGCTGCTGAAAATTCCCTTCCCCTGCAGATGCTTCCAGGATGGAAGCCTCGGAGATGAGACTTGTGGATCTGATTTTGCAGCAGGTGGTTAACGGATAGACTCTAGGCCAGCTGCTGCCTTTTCCATAGGCAGTGGAAAGGAAAAGTCTAATTTGCAGGCAATGATAGGCATTTCAGTCAGAAAAATGAGTCTGTAAGTGGGATACGGTGTTGAGTGGCACAGAACCTGGCTGTCGTCCTCCGTGCCCTCCCTCTGTAGGATGGGCCATTCCAGTACCTGGCTGATCCTGCCATCTCCATCAGCAGAACCTAGCTGGGCCCTGGAGCAGCTGTAGCTCTTCACATCTGAACCTCCACGCGAGGTGTAAGTGCCTGGCATTGCAGATATTTCTTGAAGCTTTTCTGCACAAATGAGGCTGTGTTCCTGGGCCCAGTGTTGTCTTCTTAAACCCTAGAGTGGAAGAAAGAGGAGCCCATGTCCCGTATTCTTTAGCAGCTAGAGGTAAAGGAGGACTTTTCCATGACTGCAGCATGTAATCCACCACAGACACTGAAGAGTAAAATGCTGGACAGGAGGCCACAAAATGGGCAGAGGTCGTAGCAGGACTCATGCATCCTGTGCTGGCTTGGCAGTGGTTCAAAGCTGAAATTAAATTGCAGAAACCCTGTTTCAGATGGCTTCGGGGCATGTGCAAGTCAACTTCCAGCTGAGCTTGTTGGGAAAGACCCCTCCCGGTGGGAGTGACGGAATGGAAAATTTTCTTTCTAGAAGCTTCCAGAGCAGAGCCCAGCTATTGCAAGTGCAGACACTGCTTGGCTGACTCCCATTTGTCTTCAGCCGATTCCCGGGCTTCCCAGGCATCACCATGACTGTGTCACCATCCTCAGGGTCCCCATGGCTCCCGGGTGCCTGGAGAATGAAACAGGTTCCTGGTGTGGCTTCAGTCACCCTGGCATCCCGCCCTCTTTAAACTCCACCCTTTGTCCTCATTGACCTTCACCTTCTGAGCCTTGAACCCACCAAGCTTGTTCTGATCCTTGATTCCCTCTCAGAACTTAACTCCTGTCACCTGTGGGAGAGGATCTCCCAGGTGACATCGCTGTGGCTCCCCATCTCATTTCCCTGCATGGCTCTGACATGATCTACGTGCCTCCGATCCTTTGATTTATGCACTTTTGTTTCTGTTTTCCCTCCCATAAACACACAGGGTCACTGGCCTTGTTCGCTGTATGTTCTCGGTACCTGCACATTTGTAGAATGAATGTGCGTGAATGAATGAAGGACTTGTTCCACGGTCGGCAGAGTTCTGTGTGACAGTTTTAATGCAGGCTTGGTTATTGCATGGAACCTGGGGCTTTCCCCACATAGGTCCAAGAGTCTGGAGGCCTTGGGAAAGAAGCCAAAAAAATAAATAAAGCAGGTCACAAGAATTTAGGATTTTTTTTTTACTCTGTTAAAGTCAGGCAACTACTGTGTGGCAAGGTAGGTGATATCTTAGGCTCATCTCAAAGAAAAGTGTTTTGACTCAGGGAGTTAAAATTGCTCAGAATCCTCCTCTTTGCCCAAACCTTACCCCCCCCCCACTTGTAAAACAAGACCCAGGGAAATCCGGGGGGCCTCTACACAGTGATTAAGATCTGCTGCTTACTGGCTGTTTGACCTTGAACAAGTTATCCCGTTTCACCTGGCCTTGATTTCTCCCTCTGAAGGTGAGGATGGCCATCATTGCTATCCCGAGGGCTGTTTCTGAGGGTGACGGGAATTATGTAAAGCTCCCAGGACATCCTCTTACACAAGGTGGGTACCACAGAAGTGTGGGCTCCCGTTCCTTTCAGGGAACCTGTAAACTCTTCACCAACAGTGTGCTCCTCTGGATGCTTCTCGACCATTGTAGACTTTTCAACACCAAGGGTCACCTGCTCGTTTTGAAGATTCCACATTGTCTAAGTGAGCTTTGCCAGTGTAACTCCATCATCTGTTCAACATGGCTACAGTTTCGCATATATACGTGTCAGCCCTATTTTTTTAACATGTTTTTGTTTTCAATGGACGCGTGGTACTTGTACGTATTATAGGCGGGGTATAGTGTGCTATTTCAGTACATGCATAAAGCATGTAATGATCAGATCAGTGTAACTGGCATATCTATTACCCTCATTTGTTTCCTGTTAACAGTTTTTTTTTAAACTTAGATAAATGCACTTGAAGATGAAATCATGACCTATTATCATGAATGGGAAATCAATATCACTTGTCATTTGTATAAGGTAACCTGAGAAAAATAGGTGTTCAGATGGAGGAACACATTGATTGAGTTCCCCTTGGCTGGCATCGTCTGCCCTCAGGTGAGCCTGGGGTGAGCGTGTGTTTGGGGGAGCTGCTCCTGGTACATTTGGGCCCCTGCCCCTGCCACTCTTTGCACTGCCTGTGCTCCTCTTTGGTTCCCCTCTGCATTCTCGGGGTCCTGGGTCTCCCTGTTCAGTATCAGAGAGGAATACAGGGCCATGAAAGACTGAACGCAGGAAAAGTCAGGAAAATACAGACACCCCAAGTGATGGTTTTGATGGGTGGTTCTTTCACCTGAGCACGTGTCAGGCTCCCCTTAACGGCTTGCTAAAATGTAGCCTGCGGATGCTGAGTTGCTTATTCAGCAGTTCTGGGGGTTGGGCCCTAGCATAGTTCCCACAAGGTGCTGAGGTATCAGGGCACACTCATCTGAGAACCATTTAAACCATTCTGTGGAAGAGACCTGCCAACTCCCCAGAGAGGAAGGGGGCAGAAGGCGAACCCAAACTTCCCGTGTCTCTGTGTAGTGTATGTGACTTTCTGCTCTAACGCTAAACCTCTAAGAGGCCCGTGGGCAGCCATCTGGCAGAGGTGTTAGCTCCTGGCAGGAAGGCTAGTCTGCACAAAAACAGGAAGGGAACCCAACGGGTATCTGGGTGGAACGCTTATGGCATCCTCTGTGGTGTGTATCTGTCTGACTGATACGAAACTCAGGAAAAAACACAAAGCCAGCTACAGTAATACGGGATTTTTATTCTGCTTGTGAAGTCAGATAACTGTGAGAGGAAAAGAAGTTGATAATTAGGCATCTCCCAAACACAGGTATTTTGATTCTAAACTCTTCAACTTAATATGTCTTCATATTTGTTAGTAATCTTACCCTAACTGAAGATTCTCATTCAATGTCTCCTGCAGCTTGAGCCTTTATAATAAACAAGAGGCCAACTTTGGGCCCATTGACCCAGGTTTACTGCAAGAACAAATCAGCTAATCTCAGGTTTTCCACCTGGAAAGTGGGAATGATACTAACACCAATTTTTAATGGTATTTTTTTCCATTTCTTAATGTCATGAAGATCACATGGCATAGCATATGTAAAATGCCTGGTACAGGAGCTGGCACATGAGTCCCCATGTAAATGGCAGGTGGGCATTAGGACTGGGGTAAAGTGCTAGTGAACACAGACTGATAGGGAAAAGTACTTTTCAAAGCATGAAGTCCATGCAGGTACTGTTGTAAAACAGTCGTCACCCACTCTGGGCTCCTCTAGAATGGACCTGAGAGTGGGGGTGACAGAAGCTCTCTCGAGAGTTAATTTCCTGGGTTGCCAAGGATATGGCTTTGCAGTAAGTTGCCTCATCTCATCTCACATCTTGGTATCCACAAGCACCCAGAGCTTTTAAGACCACTGTGGCAGCTCATCCAACTACCTGTTCCTCCATCCATCCACCCACCCACCCACGCATCCATCCAAACACTCCCCCATCCATTGAAATGACCCTCTACTCATCTATTTACCCACCCACCAACTCATTTATCCATCTAATAACCTATTCTTCCATTTATCCACAAGCTCTGTCCATCTATCCATCCACCATCCATCCATCCATCCATCCATCCATCCATCCATCCATCCAAGCAGCCATTGAGCCACTTACTCTTTCATATATTCCCCAGCTCTATCCATCTGCCTACTCATCCATCCATCCACCTATCCACTCATCCGCCATGCCTCGCTCTACCTATATCCATCTGTGCACCCATCCATCCATCCATCTACCTGGTCTTCCATCTGTCTACCGCTCCATCCATCGTCCCACTCCTCCATCACACTTCTGCCTACCCGCTCATCCATCGTGCCTGCACCTATCTATATCCATCTAGCCTTCCTTCTACCCATCCATCCTTCTGTCCATCCATCCATTCATCTGCCTGTTCTTCTGTGTATCCATGCACAAAGCCATCTCTCCATTCATGCAGCCATCCATCCATCTTTTTCTCTCCTTCCTTTTATCCCTCAGGTTAAAGTGCCACAACAAATGCACCAAAGAAGCCCCACCCTGCCATCTCCTGATCATCCACCGAGGAGGTAAGTATCTAACACTCGCTCCCTCCGGTGGGTTTGGGGTGGGACTCCTGCTGGCTAGCCAAGACACCCACCCCATCCTGACGGCTCAGACACCTTCCACATACACTTGCACTCGTTTCTTTCACTGTACCTCTTCTTTCTGCCTTCTGCCCTCTTTATCCATCTTGTTTGCCTGTCTCTCAAACCCTTGCCTTTGTACTGGTCCCTAGGATATTTTAGCCCCTAGGTTCATTGCCCTTCAGCCCTTGTCCTCTCATTCTTCTCTCTTCTCTTAATTTCTACTTCCTCTCTCTCCCTCAATGCCATTGCTTTTCCTCCCCATTTAAGAAGAGTGATGGTTGAGTGTTTTTCCATTGTGTGCTCTCCAGACTCAATCAATTGGCTTTCCAGAATTTGGCTTGAGGAAGGCTCTGGCTCATGTCTGTTGCTTTGGGCCATCTGTATTCTACCTTTGGGGACTCTGAGAGTGTCTGGGCTAACCTGACCAGGCAGGGAGTTTATTCTTAGCCTTTCACCATATAAAAACAAGCCCCATTTTTCTGGAAGGCAAGACTTTTTTCTGCCTGCCAAGGACTGAATAGGAAGCAAGTTTATAGTCCAGTTTTGCAAATAATTCCCCTGGTCCTCGCCCTGTGGAGTAGCTACTTCCAGACTGCGTCACGCATTTTGCAGTTCATCCTTGGGGGATGCTCTAGGTCTGTGTTGTCAGTAGCTATTGACTGCATCTGACTGTTTAACTTTAGATTAATTAAGACTAAACAAAAATACAAATTAAAATTACTCAGTCACACTTCAAGGCTCAGCAGCCTCATGTGGCTACCATGGTGTAGTGGACAGTACAGATATAGCATTCTTCACCACTGCAGACTGGACACTTGTCAGCATGTCCAGGCCCTTGCTACTCAAAGCACAGTCCTTAAACCGGCCTCACAGTGATCTCCTAGGAGTACGTTAGAAATGTATGACTCCTGGTCCTGCCCTTGGCCTACAGAATCAGAATCTGCAATTCTAAAAGAGACTAGATTTCCATGTACCATACATAGAGTTGCAGAATTCTGCTTGACAATGAAGTTGCATAGAAACCCAGAGGCCTCCAAGGGCCAGCAAGTATCCTAAGTGAGAACAGCTGGCCAGATGGGGCCCGGCGCTATCTGGAGAGGGTGACCAGTCCAGCGGCAGTGCAGACCTGTGTCCTCAGCTCCTCTCACCTTTCAAACAAAAGTCCAAATACAGTTTCATGTGCTAGATACTTATTTTGTTGGCAACTTATAAAATATTTTAAAGTCTTTCTGGCCACCTACCTGCTACAGGCCACCTATCGGTTGAATTGAGCCTTAAAGCCACCAGAAAGGAGCTTTAAGGATACAGAAACTTGCTAATCCGAGTCCAGCTCTTCCTTCCTTGTCCTCCATCTCCCCTGGCCTTGGCTAGTGCTTGCTCAGGGGAATCACTCAAGTTTAGAATGCATCCAAGGGAAACATAAAGAAAAGCAGTCCCAGAGCCAACAGGCAGTGGGTTTTTGATGACTTTTGCATTGTTGATCACCAGGAAGACAGAAATGCAGGAAAAGTCTTTCAGTTCTTTTCTCCTGCCCCTTCCCACCCCATCCTTAATTAAGAACCATCTGTTCCCAAAGCAACTAGACACACTCGATGAGGCTATTTTGAAACCTGAATTCTCCCTGCATCTGAGCCGTAGCTTTGGGTCAGCTTCCTTGGGGTATTCGCCTCCCACCGAATTCCTCTTCAGTAGGAGCTACCAGAGCCCAGCTACCGTGTGGAGGCAGGACCCAGCCTGCTGGCAGTGACCGGTGCTCAGAGGCTGGTATTTGAAGAAGGGTTTCCTCCTACCTACCTTCAAGGTCATGTTCCTTGTGCTCCAGCCCTGCAGGTACCTGTACAGGCAAAGCAAGCTGAACTTTCCAGAAGTCTGCAGGCTTCTTGCTTTTTCCCCCCACGTTGGTGGAAAGTTGAAAATAGAGTCAGTTTCCATGGAGATGGCAGCTCAGGCTAAGCAGAGAGATTAAATCCCTGGGTCAGCTCAAAGCTTTAACTTCTCAGCCGTCCTGCCTCTCACCCCACAATAAAAAAACAGCTAACCAGAACCAACATCAGACACGGGATTGAACTGGAGTTTCTCACTGTGCCTCTCTGTGTTCTCAGTGAGCAACAGAAACCCCGAGGGGAGAGAGGCTTGATGGTGGGCCTGGGATCAGGGGCTATTTATTTAGCACCGCGATGTCCCCAGCTTCCTTGTGGCTTCTGGGTATGACATCAAGTGAATTTTTCTTTCAGGGACCCATGATTGTTTAGAAACACATTATATCTCAGTGTGCAACAGGTTGAGAAACCCCACAAGGAACAAAAGACGACCCTAACACCACAAAGATCTGAAGAGCAGGGACAGGTGGCCTTCAGGAGCTGGTTCACTAACTGAAGGCCCCAGGAGAGCTGGCCTCTCTAATGTCTTAACTGAGGCTGAGCTCTGAAATGAAAACCAAGATGAACCAGCAGTGGCATTGAAACAAAACAAAACAAAACCCTGGTAGCTTTCGTTCTTTCACTGTGACATTTTATTGACATAAGTCACACATTGGTGGCATCAAATGTTTAGTAACCATGGAGGGCAGCCTGAACCCACCACAGCGGTGCAGTGACGATCACTCTGAGGGTCGGGTACAGGTCCTCAGGGTGGAGTCTGAGCTCTGTACTCCAGGCATGGTCAGAGCCAAACTGATCCTGAAGCTCTCAAATCTCTGTTTTTACCCCTATGGACCCAGCAAGGTTAGTCCGGACAGAGTCGGTCCCATGTGACATCAACAATCCTGTACGGAAGCCACCCCGGTATTCGGACCTGCACATCAGCCAGACGCTCCCCAAAACCAACAAAATCAACAAGGTGAGACTGAGCTTCTGCTGGGTGGGGGCCTGAGGGGCTGGCATGGCCAGGTGCTGGGCAGAGGCAGGAAGGGATAGATGTGCAAGTGTGGTTTGTTTTGTGTAAGCTGGGAGCGGGGCACCTCCCTATCAGTGAGAGGTACGCATGCCAAGCCTCTCTGATTTAACCCGAGAGCACAGAGAAATGAGAATGAACGAGTGTGTGGAGGAGGAGGCTTTAGAGAGGGGTGGAGATGCCAAGGGGAGTTTCCTTGGCGGTCCAGACCCTGCCCGCTCTGCTCTGCGAGATGTTTCCCCATCTGCCTGATCTGCTATGCAGATGGTCCTCGGCTTTCTGAACATCTGTTGAACTAAGGATCGGGGGATCTATTTTGCAGCTCCTGCTGGAGACAGGATGGATGGATATCTTTAGGGACCCGACTCTGGGACATTCCTCATTCCAGCATGATTTACAGATCTTTTGTTTGATCTGTTGATGGGGCTGTAGCAAAACTATCCCCCAGACCCACACAAGGTAACACAGACTGCACCCCGAGGTCTTCATGCATTGTGTTTAAGGTGGATAAAGTATGATCAGCCAAAGATGGGGGAGGTCGCCAGTCTGTGTGCGGATCCCCAGGGTCAGTGTGATGACTGCTGGCTTCTTCTTGGCTTCTCTGCATAGGCTAGACGGGGTTGCTCCCTCCTCAATCTGCTCTCCACAAGGCAGCCAGAGTGAATATTAATGAATTGGAATCCCGTCGCTCCTCTGCTTAAAACCCATCCAGCAGCTTTCTCTTGCTTTCAAAGAACCAGTTGGATCGTTTACCACAGCCCACAGTGCCGTGCATAATTTGGTCCTTCCTTCCCTCTCTGACCTCCCCTTCCAGCCTCCCAACAAAGACCATCTGTTCTTGTGCTATCACAACAGTTTTTGCCACTAGATCTCAGAGCCATTCCTCACCTGGCTCCTTGAGACAACATCCTAGCCGTTGGAAGAGCCTGGCCTCTGGAGCTAGGAAAACCGGCCTTGGCTTCCTCCACTTACTGGCTGTGAAACTTCAGATGAGTAATTTAAATTCTGTGATCCTCAGTTTTCTCAGATATGAGAAGGGATTGTTCTGGTTATCTGCTGCCGTGGAGCAAGCTACCCCAAACTTAGCAGTGTTCAACCACCACTCTTGTCCTTTGCTCAGAGTCTGTGTGTTAGGAATTGGGACAGAGCATAGGAGAGATGGGTTGTCTGATGTCCAGGAATCAACTGGGAAAACACAGGTAGCAGCTAGAGCCGTCCACATGCTTGTGGTTTTTGTTTTATGGTGTGTTTGGGGGGAGGGATGCGGATTGCAATACTTGAGTTGGGACTCAGGCCTCAGACATTCTGGACAAGTGCTCTACCACTGAGCTACACCCCTGGCCTTAGTCAGCTTGAGCCATCTAGAGTCTTCTAGAGTCATCTAGAGTCTTCTAGACTCATCTAGAGGCTTCTAGAACCAAGAATGGTGCATCATAGCCTCCATGCCAAGTTCATCCTACCACTTTTTTTAGTGAATAAAAGTTTATTGACAACCCCGCCCCCCCCATGCTGTGTGCTGGTTTTGTTCTACAACAGCAACAAAGTTGAGTGCTCACAACAGGAACCATACGGCCTGCAAGGCTTAAAACGTTTGCTATCAGGTCATTTACAAGAAGTTTGCTGATCCCCGATCCGGAGGTTTTGTTGTTCACATGCCTGGTGTCCGGGCTGGGTGAGTTTGTGTCTGGGCTCATCTGAAAGGCCAGCCAGCTCACTGCACAGGGCTTGCCTGGTGGGCGAGTTTTGCTCACACTACAACCACTTCCGTGTAGCTCGGCTTGTATGGCAGCTCATGGCTCAAAGATCCATCAAGTTAGCAAACAAGGTGGGACCCCTGCTGGAGTATTTTACTAACAAGAGCATTTACAAGCCTTCTCAGGCTGGAGGAAGGAAGAGACATACACCCCAAGTCCGAAGGGGGCCAGCCCAAGAGGCTACAGATTTGGCTCCACATTCCGTGGCATCCCAGGTGAGCCATAAGGGTGTCAGCCTCAGAGTTGTAAAGGTGAAATTAAATAATCTACATTTAAAAACACTTAGTGCAACTCCTAGCACCTAGGAAACGTCCAGGAAATTCTAACTAGTGTGATTAGCTTCATTCTTGGAGCCTTCGATCAAAATGTCAGGCTGAGTTGCCTTTCCCTTTGCTGTTGACAAAAGATGTTGGTCTCGGGGCTGGAGATGCAGCTCAGTGATAGGAGTGCTTGCGTACCACATAAGAGACCCTCGGTCTCCTCCCCAGCACTGCAAATCAATCAATCAATCAATCAATCAATCAAAAAGGGAAAGATATGGGTGACTGAAAGAGGGCCCTCCCAGAAAGCCTTCCGGCAGGGCTAAGGGTATTCAGGTAATGAGGGGCCTGGGAAGTAACCCTGTGTTCAATAAACCATCTTTTCCTTTGACATCTTGAGGGGCAAGGAGCTCGGGGGAGTCACCTTGAGACCTTCTCCTCTGGCTTTTCATGCACTAGGGCCCCTGGTGTCAGACGGCACAGACACACAGATAGGATGGATCAGTGACCGTGACATTGTTCTGCTTGTCTGCCGGCAGGGGAATTTGATAAGGGAAATAAATTAACCTCTATTTAGAAGGCAGCTTTGACACGAAGGTGGACAGGATTTCTCATCGAGCTGGGTTATTTTTTCCTCTTTCTCTTCTCACTGGCTTCATGCAGATTCTTTTTGTCAGGCAATGATGTGGTTAGTGCAATAGATTTCTGAGCCAATTTGGTCTGAAGATTTCCTTTTCATTACTGCTCGTCTGTTTTCCTGCCTGGCTCCGCACATCCGTGTTCACAGTGGCTGCTTTTTCCGCAGTGGCTGGAATGTAGATTTTGGAGTCAGAAAGCCTGGGCTGGCCACTCAGCTCTCTCGCTGGCTGTGTGACTATGGGAGAGGCATTTCATGCTCTGCCCTCCTTCCTTTCCCCCTCTGTGATATGAATATTGTTGGTTTTGGGGAGAGGATTGGAGGGTAAAAGAGATACACGGGAGCGGAGGAGGGACAGGAAGGTGGAGAAGCAGCTGCGGCAGCGTCTGGCCTCCCCCAGGGACCCGTCTACGACCCTTGACCCTCCGCTGAACAGACATCAGAAATGCCATCTGCAGAAGCAGCTGAGGCTGGAGTCCCCCTGCTGCGGTCATGCTGTTTGAAGTGGCCGCCTGCTGGCCAGCTGGTGTCTGGCTGGCTCTGAGGAACCCCACCTCAGTGGCTTGGCCAAGTGAGTTGTCCACTGTAGGATGGACACGGGGGCAGGCAGGGAAAGGGAGGTCACCATCCAGGAGCTGGGCCTCCTGACACTAGCCATGGAGGTCAGCCTGGAGCCAGCAAACTCCTCGAGCCCTAGGAAGCTCACTGTTTCATCCTCCATCGTGACAATGACTCAGACACTCTTCGGGGTTCTGCCCTGCTCTGTCACAGTTGCCTGGGGTCCTCATCTCTACTCTCATCTTTTCTCTGTGTCCCCACTTCCACTTGCGTGGAGTTCCCACTCCTTACGACCTTCAGCTGATGTGATTCTGCTGGGTTACGAGGCCTTTATTCTCTTTCAACCTCACCTTATTCAGTCTTTGCCCCTAATGCTTTTTTTTTTGCAGTTTTTTACAGTTATTATTGGCCCTAATCAGCATTTCACCCCATATCATAGATTCCCGGCCAGCTGCCACTATAGTCCTGTGCTGGGAAAGGCCGTTAGGCCAGAGGGCATTTCCTCAGGAAATGTCCGTGAGAAAGCAGTTCCCAGCACCGTCATATCCAAATCCAGGGGTCCAGCCTGGGTCCCCCAGTCACATAGGAGTTTCTGATTACTGGGCATAATCTTGGGTTTCTGCCCTGGACTGGACGTGGGGTCCTGGGCTAGTAACTCTAACAAGCCGTTCCACGCCTGAGCGCCCCCACCATAGAACACAGGTAGTGACTTCAGCGGTCTCTAACCTATGTTTCCATTGCTTCTGTCTCTTCAGAAATAGTGATCGTGCCAAAGCCCTTCCAAGCAGAGCTGGTAGAGTTCAAATTTACCTCTGATGGGACCTCTAGCCACCGGTCCCATTGGGACACAGACCTAGTCTGACCTGCAGAAGGTCTGACATCCCTCCTATTGTAACAATTTTGCTGGGCAAGTGAGCACCATGTGTGCTAAGGAGTGTGTTTATCCCCATCACCCCTGAGCCATAGACATGATAGAGATCCCATTCCTGTCCTCAAGAGAGAGAACCAATCCCTTCCTCAGTAAAGGCAATTGATTGACTCATCCATTCATTTATTAACCCTCCCCATGTTTTCGTTTCTGTGCTAAATTCTGCAGATTCTAAGACAGATGACACAGTCCAGTGGAAAGTCCACACCTCCAAAGCTTTCCTTCATGTCATTCTTCTTTCTTTCTCCCAGCACACATTTAACTGAGGGCCCACTGTGCCCCTGGTGCTCGGCTCAGTGCTGGGAATTCAGAGATGCGTATAACCTAGTGCTTGTCCTCCCACGCTAGAGGATGAGGCAGAGGTGAGAGGTGGCCACGTAGAAGCAGCAAGGGGAGCTGGGCATCGTGCACAGATGGCAGCATCTGAGGTGGAGTAGGAAGGTGAGGCCAGCTGCTCAGGGACTGAGATCTGAGCTGCGTTTTGGACAAAGAAGAGACAGAGTAGGACAGGGCTAACAGACCTTCTGCGGAAGGACCTTGTTTGTGCTAGGAGCCCAGGGCCATTGAACATGACTTCAGTAGATCTTTCACGGGAATGGAGGGGGGATGATGAAACAGGGGTAGGCATGTCAGCCCAGCTCCAGCCTAAATCATAGACCAACATTTTAAACATCCATTGTCATTCGAATGAGATCATACACCATGGGAGTCCCTACCCATGGGAGGCCAATTGTTAGCACAAGTCTTTATGGCTTTGTAACTCAGATAATGATAACTGTATAGAGCATCTGCAGAAATTTCTTAAAATCTGCTAGTCTATGAGTGGACTTTCAAAGAGCAGAGGCTTCAGAGCACTTAGAGGACCCACTCTCATGTCCCCTGTTCCCTTGGATGATGCCCTCCCCAGCCCCTTAACTTCCTAAAAAAACCCCATGCCCCACCAGCCTGAGTGAGAGCATCTCTCCACGCCATAGCCTGACCACATAAATCTAGCTCCAGTGGTTACTGACGTGTTATTCCACCAACATATCTGTTGTCATGGAAATGTAATTACCTTCAGATAAATTAGAGTAGAGAGAGAAGCTGGCTTCCTGGTCACCTTCTACTGACACTGGGTCGGAGTTACCTCTGACATGGCCTTGCCTGGCAGGTGGCTGCGATGAACGACAGCATACCCTCGTCTGTGACAGTAAAACTACGGCCAAGTGCTCAGGTGTCCCCTGCCTTCTGTCTCTCCCACACTCAGCCAGCGATCACACCAGGAAGGCCCAGGATTCCAAGGAGGATCCCGTGGCTGGGGAGCCAGCCGTACCTATGCACTTCTGTCTAATCAAACAAGGCCAAGCCTGCATTCCCAGAGTCCTAATTTCTCCCTCCAGGACTAACACCCCTCTTGCAGGTTTGTTGCCTGGATCAAGTGGACTAACAAATTCAAAAGACTTCACTGCTTCTAGGAAGATGAAGTAGATGAGCTTTTCCCATTCTCCTCACTAAGTGCAACTAAAAGCCCTGGACGTTATGTATAAAACAAACGTAAGAGAAAAGACCAGGGAGGGACCCAAGGAACAGCACACTGCTGAGCTCCTGGAGGTTTATTTTGCCTTTATATTTCCCAGACTGGGAACTGAAGAAACTCGCTGTGGATACCAGTGGATAAGAGAGAAGCTCACAACCCCAAAACCCAGCTGAGTAAAACCCGTCCGTGGGTAACACCCAGCTCACCACTCTTACGCAGTTAGCAGCTGGAACTTCTAACCAGTGCGACAAAGCAAAAAGGAAATAGACAATACAGATTGGAAAAAGATAACAAAATCGTCCTTATGAAATCGCCTGCTGTCTATATTTTTGAATGTGGAAATTCCCAAAGAAAAACCACAAAGCAGAATGAAAACCCTCCTACAGCTACTAAGTGAGCAGGATGGGAGGTCACCATACAGAAGCCACTTGTATGTCTATATGCTAGCAGTTAACATATGGAAACCTAAATTTATAATATGCCATTTACAGTGGGTCCAACAGAATGCAAATAGTAACTTTAATAAAATATTTACAGGACTTGTGTATTGAAAACTGTGAAACTCAGGGAAAGGAAACAAACACAAACTATAACAAGTTGAACTGCATCTTCTACAAAAATGTGCAGAAATCCTAATGCCCAGAACCTGCTAATGTGACTCGCTTTGGCAAAAGGGTCTTTATAGATGTAGTCAGATTCAGATGTGGTCATGCTGGAGTAGGATGGCCCCTTAATCCAGTGTGACTTTTAGCCTTATAAGAAGACAGGCAGACACAGGGAAGGCCATGCGACTGCAAAGACCACATAAATCTTAGATTGGATGGTTGCAGCTGCGTGTGGAACGATGCCAAGGATTGCTGGACAGTACTGGAAGCTAGGAAGAGGCAGGAAAGGATTATGCTGAAATTTTCAGGCATTAGCTGTGCTAATACCATGATTTCAGACTTTTGGCCTCCAGCCATAAGGAAATAAATTTCTGTTTTTAAAGGCCACTCAGTGGTATAGAAGTTAATACACATGCTATATTAATGAACCGTACAATTCAAAATCGTTAGAAAGTCAATTCTTATAACTGACAGCTAGGTTTAACACAAATCCAATTTAATCCCAGTCAGATTAATACAAGGTCATTCTAGCTGGGGACAGGTCCAGCTACTCAAGAAGCTGAGGCAGGAGGATCACGAGTTTGAGCCACAGTTTGGGGCTCAAACTAAGAAATAAAATGGGTGAGGATATAGCTCAGTGTCAAGGCCTTGGGTTAATTCCCAATATCACCAATAAAAATAAAAATAACAGCCATGTAAAAAGTTATGTGAGGCTGGGTGTGGGGGCACACTCCTGGAATCCCAGCACGCAGAAGGCCAAGGCAAGAGGATCACCGCAAGTCTGAGACCATCCTGGGCTACAAAGTAATTCAAGGCCAGCCCAAACAGCATATAGAAAGGCAAAAGAATAAGAATAGCCTTGAATACCTTGGGAAAAATGTAAATGAAAGAAAGAATAATGTCTCCCCAAATTTAAGGCACACACAACTATAGTAATCACGATCAGAAAGAATATACAGATGGTTAGTCAACACATGAAAAGATATACAGTGTCATTAGACATTAGAGAAATGCAAATTAAAACCACAGTGAGATATACCATTGTACTTCTCTCAGAGTAAAAACAGGGACAGCGCTAAACACTGGTCAGGATCCAGAGAAGAACCAATCACTGACAGACAGCCAGTGTAAAATGGTACAGCCACCGTGCGGGAAATCTTGCGTTTTCCTTAAAAACTAAATGTGCTATTAACACATTATCCAGAAATGGCATTCTTGGGCATTTATCCCAGAGAAATAAAGTCATACGTTCACATAAAATCTGTACATAAGTGTATAATAGCAGCTTTGTCCACAGTAGCCAAAAACAGGAAGCAGTGTCACGTGCTTGGTGGGTGATTGGTTAGACTGTGGCCCGTCCACGCTGTCAAGGTCAGCAGAGGAGCATTCTGGAGACTCAGAAGGAGGATCTTTTGCCTCTCTCCCATCTTCTGATGACTCCAGCACTCCTTAGCTTGTGGCTCCATCAGTCCAATCTCTACCTTTGCTGCAATGTGATTTGTCTCTCTTTTATAAGGATCTTTGCCATTGGCCCCAGAGCCTGCTCTAAGCCAGGATGATCTCCTCTTCAGCTCTTTACCTTAATTCCATCTGCAAAGATTTCTGTTCCCAATAAGATCGGGTGGCTCAGCTTGTGGGTGACTTGTCTCTGGGAAGGTCGCCCTTCGACCCACCACCATGCTCTTAGCCTGCCCCACCCTGGCCCTTCTGAAGATGCACACATGGTTTGTCTTCATCCCTGCTCCAAAGCTGATCCAGGGGCAGAGAGAGAGAGTGCAGATTCTCACTGAGGCGTGGGCAAAGATATCAAAGGCTCGCGCCCGTCCTCTCTGTCTGTCAGGCTGTTGATTCTTTAATAAACACTCAGGAGGGAAGGTGTCAGGATGGGAAGAGCCCCGTGGGCACCATGCAAAGGGCAGCCCAGCCTCCAGAGACACAGGCAGGTGGCTGTTGACTGCCGGTTTCCTTATGTGGTAACCTTTCAGTCTACAGTGACCGGGAATCTGACTCCAGAAACAGTTCCTTCCACAACTGGTACACCCCAGGGGCTGTGGAAGGGCTGACGGCACAGATGGGACTCTGGAAGGATCTGGGGACTGCAGAATGGGCAGGGGTTACAGAGAAAGCTGGCGAGGAGGGGGGCCTTCCCTGCTCAGCTCACCCGCTGTTGAGCCTCAGATTCAATGGCTGTCCTTGACCCCTGCTTTCTTTTCTTTCTGCAGGACCACATCCCTGTCCCGTACCAGCCAGACTCCAGCAGCAACCCCTCATCCACGACATCCTCCACGCCTTCCTCACCAGCACCCCCGCTCCCGCCCAGTGCCACGCCGCCTTCTCCCCTCCACCCCTCCCCTCAGTGCACCAGGCAGCAGAAGAACTTCAGCCTGCCAGGTACCCTGTGCTTGGGGAGTTGGAGGGGCGGGGTACAGTGTCAGAGGAGGAGAGAGTGGGCGGGGGTCGGGTGTGCACCAGGCCTTGCTGAAAGGTTGGTGATCAGCGGAGGTCAAGGAGGCCTTTGCTCTGGCGAACCAAGGGGCTGCCAAAACCAGATGGTCACTTTAATCTCTTGTTTAGGGCACCAGAGGCTGTGCACAGGAGTTTCTCCAGTATGGGCAAAGAGCATTTGTGAAATGCAGACTTGCTCAGCCTGGGCAGAGTCTCTCCACATTGCATCCAGCTAGATAACAGTGCTCCCCAACTCCACCCAGTAATGCTGGTCACGGGTTGGTCAGTAAGGGACATGTGGGGAAAAACACCCTTGGCCCTCAGCCACGAGTCATACCTCCAAGCTGAGCTGTCCCTAAGTAAATAGTGGAGAGGGAGTGGAGCCTCCATTCTGTACCCAAGCAGCACCCAGATAAAATCCCCCAGCAGAGGACAGCCTGACCATGTCGCCTACCCACAATGTTTTGATTTGGGCTGAGTCCTTAGAGTAGTGGTGTGTTGTGAATTCGTGCAGCTTTTGGATTTGCTGTTGTTGTTGTGAAGGTCAAGTCTCAGTCAGGCCTGTACCTGGCTAGGATGAGGGCCATTCGATCAGCAGCCAGTAAAGAGCACAGTGTGAGTCACCAGCTGAGTCACCTCAGTACGTGCCACCAAGTGGTTTCACAGGTAGCCTGGCATTTCCAGGGACAGAAGGCCCCCACTGTCATCTCCAGCGTCCACGCTCTGGAACAAAAGACCCTTTGCCACCCTTTGACACTATGGTGGGCCTGGAAGCTTTCCTCCAGCCATTCAGTCCCCTTGAGACACTGATGACAGTGCTTCCTCCCTGAAACTGATGGCAATGTGTTCATAGGCCAAGGCTGGGGAAGAACCGTTCTAAGAGAAAACTGCACAGAAGTACCACAGCTCTTCTTGTTCCTAAAAGAAGTTGCTGGCATCTTCAGAAAGGAGCATTGACTGTGTCTCTTAGCTCCTTTCTCCCCTGGGTCAAGGGAGGATCCTTGCTAGTTTGCTGTGCGAGCCTGCCTGTGAATCCCAGCCTATCCCATGACGAGTCATTTCAGAGTCCTGGCACTCACTAGGAACTGGACTAAGCGGTCCTTAGGGGACAGGTACCTTAACACAGAGTTAACACAGGCTCTTATCCAGAGCTGACTGCTTGGATTCAAATTCCAGCCCTACCAACTTCCTGGTATTATATAAAGCATTTACCCCCCTGGACCTCAATTTCCTCATCTGTAAAATGGGGGGAAATAGTGCTTTTCCCTTAAAATCAGCGAAGGACTAAATATCTGGAGCTCAGCAGAGTGATGGTCTCATTAAAGATCTCAACAAATGCTACTTGGCTTATTAGTAGATAAACACAGTAGTAATAAATTACTGTGGCTCCCGCTGTTTCATCGTTGCTGCTGATAAGTAAGATGAGCCTAGACAGAATTGTAGAGAGCAGGGTGAAATGCCCACGGACTTTGGCATTGGGAGTATAAATCAAATTAAACTGAGAGAAGGTAATTAGGCATTGTCTGTTAAAGTTTTAAGTAATACCAACAGTGTCACTTCTAGGAATTTATATATAGTAATACTTTCACCAGGGCACGGGGATCTGAGTGTAAGCATTTAATGTAACAATGAAATTTCAAAATCAACTCAAGTGCCGAGTGGCTGAGTAGACTGTGTTCTATAAACGTTGTTTCTGTGAGCTCTGAGAGATCACAGCGCGCAGTGATTCCCTGACAGGGAAGGTTATCCATAAAGTATTTCCAGTGAAAAAGCAAGCGATTTGAAAATCAACTGCTATAATAACATTCTGTCTCTTATAAAATATTTATACTATATATGTTTTTGAGTATGCGTAAGTGTGTACATACGTGTAAATGCATGAGAAGTCTGCAAGAAATTCACAGTAGCTCTTCTGAGGTGGGGGAGTTTTATCATATGCATTTCTGTAATGTAACTAACAAAGAGCGGACATTAGTTTTAGAGCTGAATAAATAATACAATGCAATGCTGAAAGGGAAAACAAAGTAGGACCCTCTTCCACTGTCAGGCAAAGCGCCCCTAGGGCGACAAGGACCTGGCTCGCTGTCACGCTTGATTCTGAGCCTGTGTTGGTGGGAAACAGAACTTTGGATATGGCTCTCTGCCAGATGCTGAGTTTCCTAAGGGCTGTGTAAGCTAAGACCTAACAGTGTCCTTCGCAGTGATTCATCTGGAATATTCTCGTCCAGAACCGATGGGAGGTTGGCAGGCATTTGCTTCACCTGGTAACCTCAGGAAAGAGCTGTCGGTTAGGAAACCTGCTGGAGTTTGTGATCGTGCCCAGCCTGCTGTGTTGACCTCCGTCCCTGCCCTTCCCCGAGCCTGTGGGGCCATGTGGACATAGCCCAGTGTAGGGTGCAGACGAGCATGAGGTGTGGACAGGTGCACCTTTCCTATCGATGTGGCTTTGAGCAGCAGCAAACCTCTTTAGTCCTGTTTTTCATCTGTAAAATGGGACTAAAGATTCAGAGCTGCTGTGGTGTGCAGCATGGCGAGATGCATGGAGAGGTCAAAGGGGATGTTTGAGGGCTTCTGAGCCTGGAGTATTCATGGATTATCCTCCTCCTCCTCCTCCTCCTCCTCCTCCTCCTCGCCACCAAGTGCCAATCTTGATACACCAGTAAACACACGCTTGTGTACATGCATGCCCACCTCCACATGCCCCTCTACAAAATGACAAATTCTCTTGCCTCCGAGGGAGAAACAGGAGGCAGAATCTGCCTTTGGTGGAGGTGACAGGATTTCCGAGACCTCACCTGGACTCGGCCTCTGGAGTTCAGTGCTTCCTCCCCTCATCACTATCCCGAGTCCCTTGTACATGGATTGTCCATGCGGTGATGGTGTTCACTTACTCACTTGCTTACCGTCTGTCTCCTGCATTTATGTAACAGCTCCACAAGACCAGGAATGTCTGCTTCATTCATGTCATACCGAAAACCAAACACATCATCTGCAACCGACAACCAATGAAATGTTTGTTGAATGAATGACTAATGAATGGATGAATGGTTCCCTAAATGTCATGCACTGTCCAAGGCTGCCATTTTTTTCTCATCACGTTGTTTTCTTGCCTCTTATACTACACTTACGCATTCTCTGCATTTATGAGTATTTATTGAGCATCTATTATGTGCTAGAGACTGTCCAAAGCTCTAGGCATGGATCGGTGAACTAACTGAACGTGGCCCTGTTTTAGCTTCCTATTGACACTGTAGAAGAATGACCACAAACTTAATGACTTAAAATACACACACTTATTATCTTATGTTCTGGAATTCAGAAACCCAAGACACTTTTCCCTGGGATAAAACTCAAAGGCTTATGGAAGTTCTTGGGGAAGATCTGTCTCCTTCACTTTTCCCAGCCTGCAGGGGCTGCCCACATTCCTTTGTTCATGGCCCCACTCCAACCTCTGCCTCCATTATCACATCTGCTGTGAGTGTTTCTCTCCGACTCTCCCTTTCTGACCTCCCTCATGAGGATTTTGGTAATGACATTGGGCTCACACAGATGATCCGGGAAAATGTCCCCATTGCAAGACCCTTAACCGCACCTGTAAAGGCACTTTTGTTATATAGGGTAATGTATTCAATTTCCAGGGACTTGGACATGATGTCTTTGGGGGTGGGATGGGGAGCATAATTCTGTCCACGATGGTCCCTGTTCTCATGGGCTTCATCACTCCCAGAAAGACAAGTGCGAGCTGAGTGAACATACATGTGCAAACGGGGTTACAGATTGTGGGAAGGGCTGTGAACAGAAAGAACAGTGGGATGGAGAAATGCAAGAGGTGACCGACCGTGTGCAGGTTGAGGTCAGCGACAGCTCGTTCTGAAGGTGAGGGGTAGGGCAATGGCCCTCCTGTGGAAGGAGCTGAAGAGGGTCCCTAGAGCCCAAATGCCATAAACAAGGGGAACGAACACCACGTGAGGTTAGAAGGAGCAGAGATTGAGATTGTCTTTAAGACACAGTGAGTCTTAAAGCTTGATCCTTCTTTCCGGGAGACCACTCTGCTCTTTCCGGTGGCCTTTGGGTGTGAGGGAGAAGCAGGAAGGGAGGCTCCTCCAATGTGGCCTGCTTGTCCCCCCTACCCCATCTGCAGCCCCCGCACCCCAGGAGCCATTTAGCTCCCGGAGCTGTTCTCTGAGCTTCTTGGCTGCCCTCAGAGCCACTTGTGGCTGGTGGTTTTTATCCTCGGAGACAATGTCTTTCCTCCTCTTCTGGCCACTTGTCCCCCTTGAGGTCATTAGGACGGAGCTGTTCTGTGGCACACGGAAGGTCATTCTGCCAGATGTCCCTCGTCTGCCTCTTCTCCAGAGCCACTCTTCCTCTCTGCTGCCCAGCCCATCCTCTAAAACAATTCGACCTCCAGCTAACCTTTTCTGCAGACTCGCAAACAGTCCCTCCGCCTCTCCAGATCTGGAGGGAAATCGATCTGCTGAGTTTCTTGAGAATCCTGGGTAGTTTTCCTTTTTTAAATTTTAGTCTCTCGCTGACAAAACAGTTGCATGCATGAGACACCAGCTAAGTTATATAATAGTATAAAAAAAGTCCCCAGAGTTGTGGAATTTGCTTTTCTTTGAGAGCTTAGCCCTGGGACCTTGACTAAGTCATTTCCCACTCCGGACTCGCCACTTTCCAGAGTCCACCTGCAACCGCCTGGATTCCAGCTATCTGAGATCACCTGGAAATGAACTAAGCAAAAATTTCTGCTATTTTGTGATAAACAAGTGATTCATTCAACCAATGTTTGTCACACACCTCCAAGCAGGGAGTTTAGGACCCTGAGATATTGGGCATTTCAGTGTGTCCTGAAGGAGCTTGTGAATAAATGTTGCCCTTTGGGGGAACACTGCATTTGCTTCCCCAAAACAAATGACTTGCTCTACAGGCTGTTGGAGTTTGTCTTAATTATAAATCATCCTTGTCTGTTAGTTAAGAGCGGATACAAAGAGTTAGTTTTTTCATGGCAACTAACTGACATCCCTCAGGACCAAGGGTTCCAGGACCTTCGTGAATACTAAAATCTGTGGATATTTGAGTCTGTTATGTAAAACAGCTCTGTATTTGCATAGAACCTACGTATATGCTACCATACACTTTAAATCATCTGTAGATGATTTATGGCCCTCAATATAGTACAAATGCTATGTAAATAATTCTATACTGTATTGTTCAGGGAAGTGGTGACAAAAGTGTCTGTATATGTCCAGTACAAAGTTTTTCAACTCTTTTTTATTTTTGTATAAATGACAAAATCATATATATACATATCATGCTTTGAAATACATATTATACATTGCAAGTTAATCACTGTATTCCTGCTGCTCCACACATCTATAGAATTCAATTCCTTTTTTTCCCATTCAGTACTGAGGATTGAACCCAATGCCTTTACCCTGAGATGTATCCTCAGGCCTTTTTAAACTTTTTATTTAGAGCAGGGTTTCTCTGAGTCACTCAGTTGGCCAGGCTGAGCTCTGGTTTAACAGGCATGTGCCACCAGTGTTGGAGGGCGTCCAGGCTGAATACACGTGCAGGGCTGAGGCGTGGCCTGGGCGTGGCTGAACTGAGAACGAGGAAACACCTCAGGGGACAAGATGGGCCACAGCTGAGGCCACTGGAGACTTTCTGGATCATTTTCCTTAATTAGCATCGTCTGTTGCTCTGAGGGTCCTTGAACCCCTCCCTGAGTCCTGGGAGTCCCTGAGTCCAGTGGAGGTTTCCTCCATTGTCCACTCAGCTCCGTGCTTGTTCTGGTTAAATACGGGCTGCCCAGCATTAATCGGCCTCCGGCTAGCAGAGTTACAAGCTCTGCTGAGGATTTCACTGCTGCTGCAGCCCTGAAGACCTTGCCCTTGTGTCTCAGTCTTTTGGACCTTCACTGTGCACCCTTTTGGGGGGCTGGGGATCTAGGCACAGACCCCAACACACCAGGCCCCACTTTCTTGTAGCAATTCTTAATTTTGATCCTGGGTTGGTTGAATCTGTGGATGGAAAACCTATGGATGCAGCAAGCTGACTGGACCTGTTACTACACACCCCGTGGTGTGTGTAGTGATGTATGCGTGTGTGTGAGTGAGTGTGTGTGTGTGTGTGTGTGTGTGTGTGTGTGAGTGTGAGGTGAAGATGATCCGAGCCCTGTGTGGAAGGGACTGGGCTTGCCCTGTTTACACATGGGCACTGATACTTGGATAGGTTTGCTTTGAACTTTACAAGAAACCAGGAGGAGTCCACCCTCCAGGGTCAGCTTCTGGACACCAGGCTCAGAACCACTGTGCTAAGATTGCATGAAGCAAGTCCTAGGTATAGCTTATGCCTGAATACAATAGTGCTTTCTGGAAGTGGACTCAGAAACCCAGACTCATATTCCTGCCCATTTCATTTACCAGGGCAGCTGCAGCTCTCTGTGACCTGCCCCCTACTCTAGGCACTGTACCCCAGTAGAGTAAGTGGTCAGTTAGAATCTTTCAATGTGTCCAAGCTCCCTGACTTGGGGCAGGATCAAAATGAATTGTCAGAGAATCAGCAGTGAAGTCAAGGAGATTTCTTTCATATAATTTATTCCCCTAAATATAGAAATTAATTCTTGCATAATAGGCAGAGTAATGCTCCCCCTCCAACAGAGAACAAAATGCACATGTCTTAAAGCCAAATCGCTAAATCTGATACCTTATACGACAGAAGTACCTTTGCAGATGTGATTAAGCCACAGACCTTGAGATGGGCAGATTATCCTGGATTATCATGGTGGCCCTAAATGGAATCACAGCGTTCTTATGAGAGGGAGGCAAGGTCAGAGGCAGTGGCAGGTGATGGAGCAGAAGCAGGGACTGGACTGATGAGGTTACGAGGCAGGAAATGCAGTTGGCTTGAGCAGCTTTGAGGATGAGGGACAGATTCTCCGGGGAACCCAGAAAACAGCAGATGCCTTGATTTTAGGGCCTGAACACTCATTTCAGATGGCTGGCCTTCAAACTGTAAGAGGATGCATTTGTGTTGCTTTAAGCCACTAAGTTTGTAGTAATTTATTAGAGCAGCAAAAACAGAAAGAGAGAAAATAAATACAATCCTCAATGCAGAAAATTTGAAAAGCTCAAGAAAACATAATCACTCAGCCAAAGGGGAAAGAATTAATTTTTGGGTTTGTGGTTTTACAGTGCGCTGTCTCTCTCTCTCTCTCTCTCTCTCTCTCTCTCTCTCTCTCTCTCTTCTTTCTCTCTCTTTCTCTCTCTCTCTGTATAAGAAAGGGGGACAGAACTCAGGGAGTGTACGATATGAAATGGGAGATTTGGCGTGGATGCTCAAAGCTTTGACTCCTTTACACATGCTCTTTAGTGTCTTGGAATCTGGAGAGTCTGCAGAAGTCTGGAACCCGTCAGGGAGGATGGGGAACCACCCCCTGGGGGCCTGGGGACGCGGCGTGGTACCGTGGCACTCACTTGCTCTGATGTTTCTTTCCCTTACCAGCACCCCACTACTACAAATACAAGCAGCAGTTCATCTTCCCAGGTGAGTGGCGTGTGAGCCGGCAGCGGCCCTTCTGCACAAGCCCTGCTGAGGGCCGGGGGTGGCTGGGATGGGTGGAGGGGAACTGTAAAGTTAGGTGGTCCCAAGGGAGCCATGGGGCCCAAGAAGGCCCCCACGCATAGTAGAAAGGCTGAGAGAAAGGATAGATGGGCAGGAGGGCCATAGGGCAGGAGAGAGGTGGCCAGAGGGGCTCGAGTTGGGAACTGAAAAGATGTGAAACCAAGTGGCCTCGTTCATCCCAAGGGAGCTCAGGAGTGAGGAGGTGTCAGACATGACCGGCAGATGATGCCCCAGGCCAGGTGCTTAGGGGTCCTGGCAGCTGCCCATCAGCAGGAAAGCTCTCACCCCTGGGGCCCATGATTGCCACACATCATTCACTGCCGTGTGTCACAGGAATCAGGCACAAATGTAACAGTAGTTGTAGGTTCCATGTTTGGTTTCTGACTGTCCATCTCTGGTCCTCAGATGTGGTGCCGGTGCCAGAGACGCCGACCCGGGCGCCCCAGGTCATCCTGCATCCGGTGACCTCGAATCCAATGTAAGTGAAGCAGAGACCCCTTTACCCTGCCCTGAACTTTTGGCCTTGGGTCTGCTTAGCTCCTCTGCCTGCCTTCTTCCTCTTCGTGGAATGATAGAGGGGTGGGCCGCAGGACGTGGGAGAGAGGAGGAGTCTCACAGCCCAGGCTGCGATCGGTGACCAGAGAGCTGATGGTGACTCCTGGGAACCAGCTCGGCCTTGTGTCTGTGGTCCTGTGCCACCATCATGCCACCCGGGGCCAGACCATTGCCACAGGACCTCGGATCTCCTCCCTGTGATTAGAAGGAAAGCTTTCCCGAGGCTATAGGTGAACCCTAATGAAAAGCCATTTCATCCATATCAAAGTACCTCTTTTAAAAAGTATAATTTAGATTTATAGCAGAGATCAGCAGACTTTTAGCTCATAAGTCAAATCCAACCTGTTGCCTGTTTCTATAAATAAAGTTTTATTGGCACACAGCTGTGCCCGTTCGTTTACAGTGTTACCTATGGCTGCCTTTTCCGTACAGCAGCAGAGCTTAGAGAAACCATACAGCTCACAAAGCTGAAAGTCCTGACTCTGGCCTTTGCAGAAACAGCTTGCTGATTTTGGGGTTTAAACCACTATAGACGTAACCTAAGCTTATTTTGAGAAAATTAGAATATCCTGGAAAACAACCACTGACATTCCCACTGTGGTTGGAATTTATGTGTGCTTTTCCTGTTCCTAACTTACATCACTGTGACCCACAACAAATGCAATCACTGTCCTGCTTTGTTATCTTCAATGCTATGATATCACGCATTTGTATTATTCCAGACTCTTCATAGCCGGTTTTAATGACCATAAATTGTCCTATCAGTATAAAGTAATTTCCCTAACCAGCTCCCTAAGGCTGGATTGTGCATTGCTTCACATTTCACTGTTGCAAACAGCACCACAACAGGCATCCTTGTGTGTTGCATCCCACGGATGCGGACCCTCTCTGCAGATTTCCACGCACAAGCAGTAGAAAATGTGCAACCAAGTGAAATCGCCTTCCTTCACTCACTTGGTTGTGAAGTCAGGGCTCTGCTAGAATTTGACCAGTTAATCAATTCACATCTTTGCCTGCTTGATCTTCCTCCTGGCTCCTTCCTCTGTGACCCGCAGTAGAATTTTATTAAGGACCTAAATGGTGCGTCTCTGAAATGAGGAGCTGCAATTTGCCAGCAGATACTGCATTGACACGTAGCTCTGGATTACTTCTCTGCTGCACATAAACCAGCTCCTGTTCATGCAAGATGAACTCCAGGTTATTAGCCGACAGTCAGGGAGTGCCAGTGAGGCCCAGAGACAGTAGCTACCTGGGATCTGCTTAAACCTCCATGGACTGATGGGAGCTAACCCTCTCCAGGGGAACAACCGAGCAGCCCTGGTGGCTGGAGTGACACCGTGGTGCAGAAGGAAGAGGGTTCCAGTTCTGCCGCTAGGCTTGGGGAGGGACTTCGGCTGCCCCGTCCACCTGGGACATCCTCAAGCGGTTTCACTCTGCCTTCCCAGGCTGTCCCATACATACAGGGTTAACACGCACCTTGGTGACAACTCTTCTTTCCACTTCTGTGAGGTCTTTCACACTCCCTCCTGCCAGGACCCCTCCAGGAAGTGGATTGACTGTCTACGGGATCAGCAGCTTGCTGGGGTTCTAGGGGCAGGTTAGGGGGGCCCCCTCCACATGCAGTGAGGAGGGAAGAGGGAATCTGCTAGGACTGGAGACCTACATTCATCACGATGCCTTTCCCCGCCCCTGCAGCTCTTCTGAGTCCTCAGCAACCCTGCTGCTGTGTCCCTTCTGAGCTACAAACACACACACATCATGAAGTCTGAAAAGATGGCCCCAACGTACACCTCTAGTGCACCCTATGCCAAGTGTCCCCATCATGTAACTATGACTTGACAATCCCCTTGTGCTTGTACCACCGCATGCTAGGGCAGATTTTCTTACTTACACCCAATTCAACCGTCATCGTACAGGATTCCTCAAGACCTGCAGGGGTCCACCCTACTTACATGCACAACACAACCCACGGCGTATCCCATAGCATTCACGCAGTCACACACACACACACACACACCCTTCCAGTCCAGTCTCGTCTCCTTTCCATTCTGCACATCCTGGTGCCTTGAGGTTGGCAAGCTCCCACTCAAGCACCGTGAACTTTCTTTTTTTTTTTTTTTTTTTTTGTCTTTTTTTTGTCTTTTTACCGGTACCAGGGATTGAACTCATGACCGCCTGCTAGCAAGGCAGGTACTTATGCCGCTGAGCTAAATCCCCAGCCCCAAGCACCGTGAACTTTCAAACACACCCAGCAAGTCTGTCCCCTGGAATGCCCACCATGCTCCATTTATTCACTTCATACCTAACTTCTGGCCTGGGACACATTTAGCATCTCTGTGCAGCACGGCGTCTACACCCTTGCTTTAGCTCTTTCGGCAGTGGTGGGATATTCCTTAAAGGCAGGAACCAAGCCAATTTTAACTCTATACTCCTCTAGGGACCTTGTGCTGTTCCTCACACAGAATTCTAGTTGAATGACTGAATGAATGAATGAATGAGCAGTAAAACAAATGGACATTTAAGATCCCTCCAAAAAATCCCCAATCTGAGTGAACTTCAGAAATCGGGCTCCTTATTCCCCAGTGAACACTTAGTCTTCTGAGGAACCTTCCACACATGGCATTGAGGCCACTTTATAAAGAGGTTGCTATCCTCATTGAAACTAAATAGAGAAAAATGAGCCTTGAGCTGGGAGCCTCTGTGTGTGATCGGGTTAAGCACTGCGTTAGACCCGAGTGCTGGAATGAAACTCGAGCTGCAGGCTTGGTGGCAGGGACGTTCCACTTTAGGATTCTTCATATGTGGCTAAACTCAATACGTGGATCTGCCTTTTCACCTAAGGGTCTCATTTCTTTTTCTTTCTTTAAAGCTTGGAAGGAAATCCATTACTTCAAATTGAAGTGGAGCCAACCTCGGAGGTGAGAATTGAAGAACAGAAAGTGAAGCAGCTTTTTCCAGGAGCTGCTGTGGCAAAGCCCACTGGAGTCTGTGATGACGCAGGGGGCTGGGGGAGGGCGTGAGGGGGTGCATGGCCCTCGGATGGATGTTGTAATCCCAGGACAATTAACGCACGGTGCCCCTCCCTGGGCCGAGCCTAATGGACCATTATATTCCGTGAAGGTATCACGGAAAAGCCAGTTGGGCGGAAGTTAGCAAAAGATTTGCATTCATGGTTGAAAAATTAACTCCAGGCAGGGTGACTAGCAAGGGAATATGCCCGGCTGCCTTCAGAAGAATATGTGGGAGGAGGTGGAGACCTCGGGGATATTGGCGTGGTAGGGTATTGGGAGTGCTCTGGGGCTCCTTCCCACCTACCCAAGCTACTGAGTAAATAAGTGAAATGTCCCAGGTGGGAACCGTGGAACCCCAGCCTCTTGGCTCTGCCAACATGCCCTAAAACTGAAAGCAACAGAAGCAGGATTTTTAGGGACACTCATGTCCCTTTGGGGCTAGTGTAATCCCTGGGAAATGATCCTGGGAGAAGCCAGATTGCTTCCTGAGGGTACCATGAAGCTTACCCAGGGAATTTTGGGTCAGAAAGACCTGTGCCCAGTTAAGAGGTCACCTGCTCTTATGAGGTCATCTTATGAGGTCCCAGGGCCTCCGGGAACCGTCCTGGATTGAGCATCCACTGTTTGTGGGGCAGGTGATACCTACATTGTAGTGATGGTCACATCTCAGTGTGTTCGAGTCACACATGGTGGTACTGATGCAGATTCCTGGTCCTGGCTTGCCGATATTTTGACTCAGTGTATCTGGGTGGGAGCCACGACTTAATGGCACCTCAACTGATGTTTGATGCAGGTGCTCAGACAGCTCTCCATTTAATTTAAAACCTTGCACCACCCCCACCGCAGGGCAGATTTTATTATTTCCACTTCATGAGGAGGAAAGGAAGCATCAGAGAGTGGAGAATCTCAAAGTCACAAAGGTCCACTTTGCTCTTGCTCTGTTAAGTGCACTCTGTGAATGGCTCGTTCCCCCGGCTCCTACCTTCCTTCCTGCTGTAAGAGCCCTGGTCTGTAGCTCTCACCTCTCCCAACCTCTGAACCATCAATTCAAAATCCTCTAAAAATACTGCTTATTGCTGGTTGTCACACATGGTACACAGGCCCAATTTTATAGCCTGTCACCCCATCACATGTATGTGAATAGACAAGTCAAAACAGCACGGTGTTTGGCGCTGGGTAGCAGAGTCTAGAGATCTGAACCCAAGTCTTCCCTCTCTCTGCCTGGCTGTATCACCTGCATTTCTCAGGGTGACCAGCACCCCAGCTTTTCTGGGATTAAGGAGCATCCTGAGATGTATCACGCTTGGTGCTAAATCCTGAAAGTCCCAGCAAACTGGTATGCGTAGTCTCCTTAGCATTTCTCATCTCTGAGCCTCAGTTTCCCCCCCTTAGGACAAAAGAGTTGTACTTTCATGATCTCCTTTTCAGACCATTCGTTATAGTGCGATTCTAGACCAAAGCTGTCAGGGGAAACAGCTAAATGTCTGCCCTGGCCATGAAAGCAGCTAGAGGTGCAGAGAGGTGTGCAGAGCCCCAGGAGGACCTGGAGGGAGAGGGCCAGTGGTAGTGGTGGCTCTGACTTCTGCTCCTCTCTGGCCACAGAATGAGGAGGGCCACGACGAAGCCGAGGAGTCAGAGGATGACTTCGAGGAGATGAATCTGTCCCTCCTCTCAGCCCGGAGCTTCCCCCGCAAGGCCAGCCAGACCAGCATCTTCCTTCAGGAGTGGGACATCCCCTTTGAGCAGCTGGAGATTGGCGAACTCATCGGGAAGGGCCGCTTCGGGCAGGTGTACCACGGCCGCTGGCACGGCGAGGTGGCCATCCGGCTGATTGACATCGAGAGGGACAACGAGGACCAGCTGAAGGCCTTCAAGCGGGAGGTGATGGCCTACCGGCAGACGCGACATGAAAATGTCGTGCTCTTCATGGGCGCCTGCATGAGCCCGCCCCACCTGGCCATCATCACCAGGTCAGTCCCACCCAGCTCCGCCCAGCTCTGTGGCTAGTGTGGTTGAGAAACCCAGTCCAGGTTAATCAATCCTTCTGGCTAAAAAGTGTCTCCAGGTCTGCCATTTGCAGGTCACTTGCAATCATTCTTGACCTCAGAAAATGCTTCTAATGCTAAACTCTTTTCAAAACAGCATCCCAGAGAGAACATGAATAGAATCAGAAAAATTGGGTCTCTGTCCTTCTGTGCTCTGTTTTTGTATAAAGACAGCTCTGAAACTCACTTTTCCATACATAAAATGAGTGGATCACAGTAAAACGAGGGTCATAAGTTTTCCGGTGCAGACTGATGATAGACGCTTCAGCTTTGCGGACCAGGTGGCTCCCGCAGCAGCCATTCAGCTCTGCCGCTGTCCCCTGAGAGCAGCCTCAGACAGTACGTGGATGGACCGGAGTGTCTGTGTTTCAGTAACACTTTATTTACAAAAACCAGGTGGCAACCCAGACTTAGTCCATGGGTCGTAATTTGCTGAAACTCAAACCAAGATTCCACTTTGCTGTCACTGTGGCTTTCACTGATATTGCAAAACGCATTTACAGTTTTTACCTTCATGGTTCTGAGCATACAGAATCCATGGTCTCTGGATGCCCAGAAGGGGATAATTAGTAGAGAAGGGAAGGTCTGATGATGGTAAGTTTCCTGGACTTGTTCTTTCTAATCTCACCCAGTGATGTGCAGCAGGCGTGTAAAAGAACAGACCTGGCTTCTTCTGAACAGTTGTGAAACAGTGCTTGGTGTGTGTCTCAACTCCCTTCTTACGTTGGAACAGACCACAACAGTGATGATCTCGGTGTGCCCTGGAATGTCATAGGAGCTCCCCGCTTCCCATATTCACATCAAGCAATAACGATCCCAAATGCGGAGGTCCTACATCTTTAGGAGGTGTCCCAGCAGGAGCTGCAGACCCTGAGAAGAGCTGGGGTCTCTCTGCTCTATCCCCTTGTGAGGCAAAACCTCCTACAGTCCATTTATAAACCTTACTAATCATCATCTGTCACCATCGATTATGCAGATGGCAGGGGTGACCAGAGCCCGTGTGTTGAATGGCAGGTGCTTTTGAAGGACTGGAGATGCAGGTGTAGACCTTCAGCTCTCCTTACACTGGGGGAATAGGGTGGACTTCAATTCTCCCAGGATGGAAGTGACTCCCAAACTATTCATTTAGGGACTGAGATATTCTGATTGGGCAGTGTGAGGCTGGTAAGCTTATGTTCAGTAGTAACAGAATACTCACCCAAATTCAGTGGCTTCCCGATATCTTATGGGCAGTTTTTCTGGGCTGAGCCGTGCTGTCATGGAGGTTGTCACCAGGCGGAAGGTGGAAGGGACCCTGGTCAGTCTTGGATGCCCTTGCTCACCTGTCGCTTGCTTGGTAGACCATCAGCCGGGATGACTTGACCCCGCTTCCCATGGCCTTCATCTCCAAAGACCTAGTTTAGGCTAATCCATGGTGGCTCAAGTTCCCAGGCTCAGTAAGGGGGCGCGGTCTGTCACGCAGGTGTTTCTCTTACCTCCCCTGTGATACACTGGCCAGTGTTCATTGGCTAAAGCAACACACGTGTCCAATAGAGTCAAGGCACGGAGAGGCAGTTCCTACCTATGAGTGGAAGGATCTGTAATGTCCTGTTACAAGACATGGGTGCTGGGAAAGGAATAATCTGGGGTCATTTTTAGCTCCTTTTTCTCTTCTTATCCAGACGAAATCATCTCTGAGCAGGAGAGCCTGAGCCCTTCTCTTGGGACACCCCAGCCTGGTTAGAAGCTGGTCTTTTCCTGATCCCCGGCTCCTCCCCACTCCTCTGCCCCTACCCGGTCACCCCCAGCTCTCTCTTTGGTCAGTCCCGCACCTTCTAGTCCACTAAGCCTACGTGTTTTGTCTCTTCTGCTCCTTGCTCTTTCTAAGGACTTCCTGCCTCTCTCTCCTCCAACTTTTTGAGAGTTACCGTGCCTCCCTTTCCCTGAATCTTCCCCATGGCTGCCTAATTGGGAGTTAGCAGCCACCCTTGAAAATCGAGTGGTCATTATGAAAATTTGTGGCGCATCCCGCACGGCAGCTGCATTCGCAGCCCGCTTCTATTCTGTCCAGACTCTGAGCTCCCTCCCCGTCCGCCATTCCCACCTACGGATTTCATACAGCCCGGCCTCTTCCTGGCACCGGGATAAAGACTCCGAATGCAACTAGGACAGGCAATTGGTCTCTGAAGTGTTGTGGTATTTTGTGTGAGGTACCAGATGCGCCCCAAAGAAGTGGTGTTTATTCCCTGTTATTGTGTTGTCATATATTTATTCTGTGTGGGGGCTCTCGGCACCCCACTCTCCCTTTCAGTGCCGTCCACTTGTTGACCATCCAGATTTCTTATCTGAACATTGGATTTGAATCCAAATATTTGAGTAATTTGATTCATCGCTTGCACTCGCCTGCTTGAATGGCAGAAGTTGACGGTTGGATGCTAGCCAACCAACTGGAACAATTTTTGGACCCTGCGTTTATTTTACAAGGAGCATAAGACCAGATAATTACCTAGCATACTCTGGATCAATTCACAATGGCATATTTGAGCCAATTACTTAGTAATTATCATCGAAGTTAACAAGTATTTCTAAGATTAGCATCCTCATAATGCAATATGTGTGGCTCTCAGGGAATGAGTAATAACCAACTAGTTACCCAATTGCTATATCCACAAATACAATTAGCGCGGGGACGGCTAAATTATTTCACGATTGGGTCATTATGGAATTATTGCGAAGCTATCGACAGTCTGCATAATTGCTCATGTTAAAAACTCCAAACGAAATTTCAAAGCCAGTAACACAAGAGTTGAATCAGTCTCGAGCCCTTCCGCCCAGCTGCTGGATTTCCTGGGCCTCTGTTTCTGCATCTGTAAACTGAGCAGGTGGAAGTGGATGTTTGGCGCAGGATTTTGTTCCAACTCTAACCAAATTCTTGGGTTCTCTGAGAAGAGGCTTCCCAGAGGGTGGTCCCTCTGCCCCTTCTGCACGGGACCACCACGGGGACAAGGCTGTTACAAACAGATTACCCCGACTTGGTGGCTTAAAAAACACGTCTTTATTCTCAGACAGTGCTCAAGTCTGAGTGGATCTCACTCAACCAAAACCAAGCCCTTTTTGGAGTCTGTAGAAGGAGAGACTCCATTCCTTCCCTCTCCCAGAGCCCAGAGCTATGTCCCTTGTTCTCTGAAGCTTCTGGCCCCTTCTCCTATTTCAAGGCCAGCAGGGAAGCATCTTGTTTCCATGGTTACATCACCTTCCTCTTCGGTGGTCAAATGTCCCCCTACCTCTTTCTTGCGAGCAGACTTGTAACCACGGTTAGGGTTCACCTGGATTATCCAGGATAACCCCCCATCTCAAGACATTTAGCTTAGTGCCGTCTGCAGCCCCTTTCTGTGCACTGAGGTAGAACTCAGGGTTTCCAGGAACAGAGCCATTGAGGGGGTCATCCTTCAGCTCCTCACGCCACTGTGGACCCACTGAATCCAGTCCAGCTGCTATAGGTGGAAACCCCACCACCACCCCACTGCTGGGGATTGAACCCGGGGCCTTCCAGCAACTGCGCTATATCCCCAGTCTTTATTATTAATATTTTTGTTTTTGAGACAGAGTCTTCCTGATTTGCCCAGGCTGGGTGTGAATTTACAATCCTCCTGCCTCAGCCTCCTGGTGTGCTAGGATACAGGCATGCACCACTACAGCCAGCTAAAGATGTGGACCCTTTTAGCCAAGTCCAGTCCACCTAGGGAGCAAGAAGCTGCTCATTATTCCCAAAAAGGTTTTTCACGAAGGTCCCAGTGTCCTTGTTAACTTCTGAAAAAGAAGAAGGAAAATCTGGGGTCTGACAATGATTGAATCCTTCGCCTAGTTCCTCTTCTTAAAGCCAGGGGTGACTGGCTGATTCTCTTTGCCAGACTTATTTCCCTGGCCAAAGGGCAGGACAAACACACAACCCTCAAAAGTAAACCAGGTCAGCAGCCAGTTTACCAGCCTTCAGTAAGCAGCTTGTTTTAAGGTGGCCTCAGTGAAATTCTCCTGTTGATCACTGTACCCATTTTACAGGCAGGAATCCTGAGGTCAAAGAGGCCAATGAAACCCTTGCCTTGGTCACAGAACAAATAAGTAGCAGGACCTGGACGTGAGCAAATGTACCAGCAAATGCTAGCCCAGCTTGGCCATTCTTTGTCACAGCTGTGGGAGCCAGGCCAGTGTGTATGGGCTCCACTTGGGAGCAGTTTGGGGTCCCAGGGGTTCTCCAACTCTGGTCATATCACAGTCACCAGGAGGACTTGTTACAATGCGGTGCCCATGCCCCATCCTGCTGCAGTTAGCCTGGGCCTCCTCTTTAGACAGATCCAAAAGAGTTCACACACATCCGCTGGAGAACCACTGGCTTTTTAGAACCTGAGTTTCATTTTTGGAGCTTTGGTGTTCCATAGTCGTGTGCTTCTGCAAATTCCTGTGGCGCCAGGATGGGTGTGTGTGCACACATGCATGTGCACGAACACACACACACACGCACACACGCCTCCTCGAATGACGTGTCCGTTCTTGCTATCTTTCATGCCCATCCTCTTCCCCCACAGTCCTGACCAAGAAACACACTTCTCTCCTCTCTTTGCCCACAAACAATTCATGAATCTTAGCGACTCACAGGATCCTGCACAGAGCTCACAGTTCCTCAGGGCACCCTCAGCCCATTCCTCCATCACCTTCTGCAACTCCAAAATGACCCACCCACGCTTCTCCGTATGGGTCCCTGACCAGCCCTGTGTTGAGGGGGCTTGTTAGACATGCAGGCTCTGCCCCCCAGCCCGGCTTCCAGCACTCCATGGGACCTGCTCCTGCCAGGTAGCACTTAGAGGTGACCCGATGGGTCCAAATGGGAGAGAGGCTGGAGAGGGGCTGCTCATTCCCGCCAGCAGGGGCTGAGGGCCACTGTTAGCCCC